GAAAAATCCAACATGAAATAACAGTCTATTGATTCACTGCCTTGTGGATAATAATGCTAAAATAGGAAAGCAAAGTTACCATATTGGCAAAATTTAACCTTGTGATATCATTTTGTATCATCTGTATGTCTTGATTCTTTGTTAGTTTCATTAGGCTCTTCTCACCGCTTTTTTAATATTCACAAAATACACATTCGACAGTTTCCTTACCAGTGTAATTGACTACGAATAAATAGTAAGTAATTCTGCATCTTGGTCTATCAGATTTGGTAGCTTTGTTTGCGTAGACATGTGAACATGGAAACAATCTGCACCGAACAGAACTATGCCCTTTTTACACGGCAGTTCATTTATAGTTAGACCAAGTTTTTCTCCTCTGGACCGTTCTATCCCTTCACCCGACGCAATTGTTGTTGCATCGGTCAACAAGATACATTCAGCATACGTTCATCCAAGTCTCTATTCCAACTTCAATTTTCTTCTCTAAATTCCTTACTGTATGATGAATAGTAAAGACAGGAAGAAAGTTATTATACTACAGGTTCACTGTCATGTATGTGTGTATGTATGTATGTGTGTATATATATGTTATCTCCCTGTAGTGGATTTTTTTGTATACATCTCGTCTAGCAGATAGAAAAATCCCCGATTGTCTTAGAACCCGGAGGAGTGAAAAACTAAACCAGGCTACTGGCGAACAGTGTCATTAAGCCGGAGCGAGCGAGCGAGTGAGAGAAAGAGAGAGACAGTCCCGATCGGGTTCTTGAATAGGTGTTATTCGACCTANATACAATAACTGGGAGCAGAGAGGACTATGCATACTTCTTTTTTTACTCCGAAACAGTGTTTTGACAACGGTTGACAGACTCATCTTATTTCCCGATTCGGAGCATTGTTGTTTTGCACAGGCAAATAAGTTCACAGTTCACAAGCTCTAGCAGACAATAGCATACCTGTTTATTGCTGGTATTCTGTCCTTACAGAGAGAGTATGATCAATTCGTCGTATAAATTAGGCGTGAGCTGAAAAGCTAGGAAGCACTGGACAGCTGTTTCGACCGGGTCGGGTCTTATGGGTTGTGCTATATCGTGTGAATGAAAATTGGAAAACGGTCTGCTTGCATTCTCCCTGTGATGAAGT